GTATCACTTTCTGTTTTTATCGAATGGACGAAGTGCTTTTGCCTTCGCGCTTCGAAATTCCAGTTCCCAACTCACTGTGATGGCGGCGAGTTCTTTGACGCAGTGTGTAAACACAGGGAATAAACGGAATCTTTACATAAACATCGGCTTACATAAATTATATAAGAAACGAATTCAGTCACACGAACACACACACACACACACACACACACACACACATATATATATATATATATATATAATCGTACTGTTATTTTTCTTTACATATTTATAACATATTATAATATTTATATTCAGAACACAAGAAAAATTAAATAAAAGCTCAACTGTAGTACCTTGTCTGTCGTTTTAATGAAACATGCATAAAGGAAGGATTGCTGCCTAAATATACAAATATATATATATATATATATATATATATATATATATATATATATATATAGCATAATAAAGCCACGTATACTTTCTTAATATGTATATATAGAAAAAGTTTCAAATTGAAAATTATGTTTTATTTTATGAAAGTATTTATTTATTTATAATTTATTATTTATATATATATTTGATATTTCAAATTGTCCTCAATATCCGAACAGTGACGTTCCATATCACGTGACGTCCGCGTCTCGCGAAGGACGCTCAAGACAAATTTGAAATATCAAATATATATAAATAAAATTAAAAATTATAATTTTCATAAACTGAAATATATTTTATATATATATATATATATATATATATATATATATATATTTATTCAAATATTATACCATAAGTATGTTATTAACAACCACAAAATAGCCATTTTGTTTCACCACTTTTGGTGTCTTGACAAGTCTTGACTAGCACTTGACATGACAACAGAAGTGTTGAAACAAAATGGCTATTTTTATAGTGATGCTATATCATACTTATGCTACAATTTTAAATAAATATTCTTCTGTCTACTGTATTGAGACCTTTTTAAAAAGAAATAAGTTTTTGTTTACTGGAAGTTTATTCCATCTTTACCAACCATTTATTCATATATATATATATATATATATATATATATATATATATATATAAATATATGGATATATATAGATCCGACAGTATGAAAGAAAAATACAGAAAAAACAAACAAAAATCTGAATATGCAATTATGTAGTATTAATGTTAATATAAAGTCGACGTCGGACGTTTCGGTCTATTTAAGACCATCTTCATGGACATTTTCATTTAAACATAATTAACATTAGAACTTATAAAAATTTAACACAATCTGATCTGTATAAAATTTCAGTTATCTGTTTGGATGAGTTGGGCTCTTATGTCCATCGTCTTTTGTGTTAAATTTTTTATAAGTGTTATTACTAACACCCAACACACGCCTACCCAATTTAAACAATTCGCCCTAGCTGTTACCATGGAAATTTTGATTTCAATTATTAAAACACGTAAATTTAAAAATACGTTATTCAAAAAAATTTCGCTTGAAGATGGAACAGAGCTTACTTTAACTCAATTTAATTCAAATAATTATATTGAAGTTTTCAGGCTCTTTTTTGAAACATGAGACCTCTTATGTCGCGAGTTGGAATCATATTTTAAATAAATAATTATATATATATATATATATATATATATATATATATATGCATACACTTTTCACACACACACACACACACACATATATATATATATATATATATATATATATATGAGTATAAAATACTCCGATGCAAAAAAGGACAGAGCTAAAAGTTATTAATAAATGTACAATATTTCATTTCCGATCAATGCTTCATTGAAAACTACGTCCTTGGTCTCTGTATTTGAAATGATACTCGATTTAATAAGGGACTACCGACCATATAAATTATTGGTAATAATAAAAATTGTATCCAGAGACTCTGCCCGACTTTTAGTCAACCCATTTGCAGGAACAGTCTTCCCAAGAATATACCAAATAACTGTAAATATTGTGTAAAATACGTCCTTTTGTGTTGTCTTATTCCATGCTTATTTCAACAGTCTCTTGAATTTCAGGTTCAACCGATATCTATCCAACTTGTTCTCATAACTCTTTTATATTTCCAACATTCTTCTCCATTAAGTTCACAATCAAAAACTCTCTACCTTGAATTACCCTTGAGCCTCGTTTTGGATGAATTATCAGTAAAAAAAAAAAAAAAAAGAAGAAAGAAAATAGAGGTTGGTTTGTTTTTACACACATAAATGATTATGTACTTGAGAAAAATAAAATGTCTGGAAGACCTTTACAGTTATTTTTTTTTTCCGTCGGCTGACTTTTTCGCCCTTTACTTGTAGTTTATTAGAGAAGATATAAGGAAGATTCTTTCCTTTCTATTTTATAAGTTGCTGTATATCTTCCATGCTTCATATTCGTCACGCCACTCCCTGACCAGTTCACCGGGAAGTAATTCTGGTAGACAATAGTCTTCCACCTTCGACGCAATCCTCTCCAGCTTTACAGTCCGTCCTCAAAATCTGTGGCGGGGACTTGTTTTGAAGAATGGTGTTTGTAATAAAATCACTTCAGTGACAATCATGCACAGGCAACGCGACTGGAACATTCGAAGAACTATAAATGACCCAGGACCGGCGCCGTAAACAAGCGTAAACAGATTTGTAGAGTAGTTTATCTTTATTTTGTATTTTATTACTCGATACACACTTGTATAGTCAAGCGAAGGCATACTTTGTTATTACAAATTTACTGTCCTAACTACTTGTTGCACTGGAGGTCAGAAGATATGAGACGTCCCAGATTGATAAAGTTCTGGATATTCTTGAAATTCATGTTGTCGAAGACTGAATAGGTTGCGAGGAAAAGCAGCTACAATCAATTTTTTTATTTTACGAAACAGTGCTCAATGCAAATCTACAGAGCATAAATATTATAAATTTACTTATTTAAAAATATGGTTCCATCGCTACACAGGAATTACCATGTTTCTAAAACAGAAGCTAAAAACTTCAAATTCAATTTTATAATTAAATTAAATCCAAGTCACCAATTCTGTTTCATTTTCAAACGAATTTTGGAATAACTTATTTTTAAATTTAAATTTCAATATATGCTATCCCAAAATTCGCTCGAAAATGAAACAAAACTAGGGACTTTAATTTAATTTAATTAAATGATTAAAAAAAAAATAGTAATTAAATAAAAAAATTAAAATATTAAGAACACCGGATTATATATCTTACTGTTCTTTCTCTTTACTATATATATATATATATATATATATATATATATATATATATATATATATATATAAAAGAAAAGAAAGAACAGTAACATATATAATTCAAATTTCAAAATAAGTTATTCCAAAATTCATTTGAAAAGGAAAATTTAATTATATAATTGAATTTGAAGTTTTTAGCTTCTGTTTTTAAACATGCTAATTCTTGTGTAGCGATGGGACCATATTTTTTAAAAAGTAAATTTATAATATATATATATATATATATATACAAATATAGGAAACTATACTCGTTTCGAAAAACACTCCAATTTTTGATTTGCCAATAATCAAATAAAAAAAAAAGGTTTTAAAAAAAGAAAGAGCTAGAAACATGAAAGTCTGTCGAAAAAAATCGCACAGATACAGCTTTGAAGCCCAAAGAAAAAACCCCGACACGAGTAAACAACTAACTAACAAAAGAGCTCAATACAACCGTAGAGCAGACCTAGATAAACCTAGTGAGCCAGACAAACCTACCCAAGTTTCACCTAAGCGGATCGTCAGGGAAATATATATATATATATATTACAGGTAGTAGTAGTAGTAGATCCGTTGGTATATAATCCAGGTGGATCCTAGTAATAACAGATATTAAAACTGATCCACAGAGAGCTTAATGTCTTTACTATAATAGCATTTTTTTTACGGTAAAACCCAAAATTTGGTCAGCATGAGAATAGTCTGTTTCTGGCTAATTTGAACCCAGCCGTCTTCTTCTGTTAAGTCTGAAGTTAAGATCTGAAATATTAACACACCACCTCGTTGAATATTTGAGCTTAACAAATTTAACAAAAAATTGCAATCACAACCATAAATGCCTGTTGTTCTTTTAAGAAGTAAGAGGGTACAAATTAAAAGATTTGAAAGGGATAACTTTTTTTATTTCACAGAAACAACTGTCAAATACGATATTATTAAAATGCCGACTATTGTCTTCATCTTTGTTGTTGTTAACACAACGTTTCCACCGTTGTCCCACGAAAAATAATTGGATTAAAGTATTGGTGATATAGTATTTGTGAGTTCAATCCTTTGGAGAGGCAGAGCCTATTGGGAGCCAGTTTAAAAAGAGCAAATAATAACTGAAGTTTACTAAATAAGAACAACACGAGATATCCCCATATATGGTCGGCAGAACGAGTTTAAATAAAGGGTTTAGTTTCGAATACATTGAAGGTTACATGAAACGGCAAGCATATGATGAAGGCCGGAGAGCACAATAGCCAAGACGTTGGGAAAATAAGATAAGAAAAATGATCTGCATGTGAATAATTCAAATAATGATTCAGATATTTTTTTTTATTATAGAATTAGAAATTTGCATAAGTGTTTGAAATACAATTCCAAGTAGAGAAACTGTGTCTTTTCAATCTGATTTTCTAGAAGATAGATGGCACGTATACATGTTACACTGAATTTATCCTGGGAAGAGCAGCCTACGAAAAGCTGCTCTATGTCTATCAGTCTCCCATCTCAAAAATTACCCAGGAAAGAATAACAAGAATTTCTGGGAATTTCTAGGAAAGTAAAGACGTGTTTATCTGGTGAAGGTGACGAAACGCAGAAAATATTAGTCGCCCATTCAAAACATTCAGTAAATATATGAAGACACAAGATGCGAACGTCAGTACATACCAGAGGCGATGGATAATCGTGAAGGCTGGAGAGAAGTGTAGAAAAATCACGTGGTAGAGATAAACACTCAGTTGTGGAGCAAGCTAAGTGAATAATAATCTAACCTTT